CTCGTCTGTTGAATCGGACCACACTGGCCAGCCTTCGCTCGCCAACATGTATCAATGAGCCTTGGCTGCCCATGACCCTGTCTCCGGTTTACCTCTTTTCCTTCCTTGGACCACTTTTGATAGGTAGTGACCACTGCAGACCGGGAACACCCCACAACAGGTGCAGTTCTGGGGATGCTCTAACCCAGTCAACTAGCCATCACAATGTCAAAGTCGCTCAAATCCTCACGCTGCCCATTTTTCTCCTTGCTCTCAGCTTGTGGACAAAATGTTCACTTGCTTGAGGACGCTTTTGTAATACACCCTTTGGTTGTCTTTTATGTTGCTCTTTGTGAAACATTATTCTGCCAGGTAGACTCAGTTACATACATTTAAACCTACACGTGTTTCGACCCTGATCTGAACATTGCTCTCCCTGCCAAACCTCTTTGACTGTGCTAAAGTAAAGTGGTGCTGGAATCATATTGCTTTGCCCAATGTCATTTCAGTACATAGAATGCTCGAAAAAAAACGTCCTGTTTAATAGCAAATGTGTAACAGGGTTGCTCACATGATTTCAGTACTTGTGTTTTCAAATCTCCATTGCCTTGCTGACTGGAATATGTAACTTTTCCAAAGACATGATCAGCTAAAAGGCTGACCGTAATACTGATTTAGGACTGCAATATGAATGAACAAACAGTTACGGGGGATGCTTTATACATATTGAGTTTTATTTTAAATTTAACAAGGATGCACACATAAACAGAAAGAGATGAGAGGAAGAGATGATTCAGTCTGGTGCTCACTGGGCCATTGTCACTGCCACAGTGGGGAATATTACTCCACAGTCAGGCTTAACAGCTGACCAAATCTATCTCTGTCTGCCGTTCTCTTTTTCTCCCTCTGCTTGTTTTTTCTTTGAAAATGTTTTTATGATGATGCGCTTCATATGACAGAGATGATATTACAGAGAAATATCAGTCTTTATTTTTTTGTCTATTAATAGATTTAACAGGACAAAGGACAAATCCATACAAAATAGCACAATGCATTGCAAAACTGTACTGCGCTGCGCAATACAATAAAATACTATTGCACAAAAATGTATAATGCAGATTGGATCTTATAAAGACACAGGGTATATCAAGTCTTAAATCATATTCATTAAAAATTAATTGCTTGAGTTCAATTTATAATAAATTTAAAAAGTAATTTTACTTTAGAATGAGCCGTTTTTATCTATAGACGCCGCAGGTCGTCTGTGGAGTCCGCCATGTTCAACCGCCATGTTTCGTAACCCACAAAGGACAAAACAAACACTGGTTCTAGATAGAGCCAGTAAAATCAAGAAATGTATCTCAAAATTGTACCTAAGTACAGTACATTAGTAAATTTACTTATTTCCTCTCTCAGATATAATGTTTTTATCTGTCACACAAGAAATCCCTGAATGTAACTCCCCTGACAGAAAAAGAAATAATCTGACAGTAAATAGTTTTCTTACGTGTACATGGTGTAATTAAAGGTGTTTTAATTATTACTCATAACAGTTAATATTGTCAAGTATCTTTAAACAAGGGGAAACAATCTGCTTGTGGGAGACATAATTAGTAATTAGTAGTGATATGATTTCAACCTGGCTGGCATGGTCTTCATTTAAAGAAAATGTGTTTGAGCAGGTAAAGCTGCCTTAAAATGATTACAGCTCTCTGGTGGATTTGATGTGTTTCAAGTGGGGAAAAAAACATCAAGTTCAGCCAAGGCCATACGCTACATTATGCAACATTAATACTCATTTATACTCATTTGCACAGAAGCATTGGATGGGTGCCTGAGGTGTATAATGATGAAATTTTAAGTCAAGGTAATAGCTCAATCTTCAGTTTTCTCTGGTACATTTTTGGACAAACTATCTACGATTTCCTAACTGTATGTATCGTTTGGACATCAAAACTGTTTTACTCGCAGCCAAAAAACACTGCAAAGTTAACTCACCTTCACATTGAGATTTTAAACGTTATGCTAAACACCGATGGAAATTCACTCCCACACAAAGCCAAACTTTGACTGAATTTATAAACACAGTTTTGGTGTAAAGCCTGAAACTTGTGTTATCCAAGGACTGCTGATTTTAAACTTTAAAACTGCACAGGTTGCAGTGTTTTAGTGAGTAGGAGTTCAAACAGCACAAAAGCACAAAAAAGCACAGAGAAGACTGGTGCTTTGGATGAGATAATGACCATGCAGCATGCTTCTGATCCAAAAACAGTCTCAGATTTATTAACAGGGATCCACGTGGAAAGATTTTGGGCCTTGTCGATTTGGTATTGAATTCCATCTACATTCAGGGAGGAGATATGAAAGTGAAAGCTAGTGTATGAAAGTGAATCTGTTATATTAGATTTGAGACTGTTCTTCATTTTTCCGGGGACCTGCCTGAAACTTTCACAGACCCCTGGAGACCAAAAGCTCCAAAACAAAACAGAGTGGGTGACGAACATGTTCAAATAGGCCACTTCTCTGTGACATAAAGACAGCTCTGGAGTCGTTGTGAGACCCTGCCTGGAGCTATAAGCCTTTATTTTCTCTTTGCATCCCCTGGGTGCGTTTTAAAATGATCGATTTTTACATTATTTTAATCCAATGGCCTGACGTGTTATTGGAAAGAGGAGTGATGGATCTGGACGTGCAAGACTGGACATTGATCACTAGGAGAAGGGAGGTCGGGTTGTTTCCCAGAGGATCGCCCTGTCACACACACGCACAGACACACACAATTGCGAGCTGTTGGCAGTGACAGTGTGGGTGTTTGTGCGCGCGTACGAGCACGAGCACGAGTTGATTCGACTCGCAGCTCCTTTGCTGAGAAGTTCATTTCCGATGAGAGAACCCGTTGTCGCTGCATCACTCTGTTACAGATGCATTGCGCTGGATGCTTTGGCAATGCATGCGTAAAACAGCCGGCTCCGTGTGATATCCTCGTGATCATCCACGTCTCATCAGTACATCTGAGTGGCAAAGAAAACTGATTTCCTTCCTCGCATTAGAGGTCTGATCCATGTCAAAAACACGCCAGTGTGTGGCTGCGCGCAGTTTGCAGCAACTCAGACGCAAGATGGATTAAGTGTGATCCCCGTGTGAGATCGGTCGGAAACAACGCACGCAAAAAGAGAGCGAGGAAGGGAACGGAGGTAAGCGCGCACTCGAGCTGTAAGAAGCATTTTTTTTTTCCTGGGACGCGCACAGACAGACAGCTCTGCTGGTGAGAAGGCAAACAGAGGAGAGCGGGAGAGGAGGAGGACGCACAGCACAAAGTTCTCCTGCATCGAGATGAAGTATGGTGTCGGCAAATATCTGCGTTCCAATTTAATGGAAGTTTTGAATCGCAAAGGGAAAGAGGAGAAATATCGCCAAGGAACGAGTGCACCCATGGATATCGGCGTTGCACGAGCGCTTTAGTGCAGTGGAGTCAGTGAGAAACCAAGTCATGATTTGGGTCGCGTTTTTACCCCTTTTGGCTTCGTGCGCTCTCGGAAACAGGACCACAGAGCAGGTGCCGTTCTTTCACGGGCATGTATTTGAGAACTCGTCTCCGGGCTCCCGGGTCAACGGACTGAGCGTCCCGTTAAAGCGGCTCAACTCGCAGAGGCTGTGCGGTACCGGGGGATCCGGCTCAGCGGCAGCACACTTTAAACTCCTAGGAGATGGGAGCGAGAATTTCCGTGTCTTTGCGCACCACAAACGAGGTCATATTTTATTGAAGACTTGTGGGGTTCTGGACCGGGAGGAGCGGGCTGAATACGCACTGGGTCTTGGTTTGTGTTGTGGGCAATGCGCGGGACTCTCCCGGGAAGATGAAGGGGACACTCTGGTAGTCGCTGAGGTGGCATCGATCAAGGTGGACGTCTTGGACACCAACGACCACCAGCCCACGTTCCCCGGGGCCGATGTGAAACTGAGCCTGGATGATGCCACTGCGCTTCGCACAGCGATCTACACGGTTACCGCGCGGGACGATGACAGCGGCAAGAACGCGGAGCTCATCTACTTCGCCCTGCCCAAAAACGGGAGTTTCTACGCGGTGCCCAAAACGGGGGACATCCTCCTGGTGGACTCCATCCTCGGTCTGGATGAACCGATTAAGTTTAAAGTGTTTGCCCGGGACCGCGGGTGGCCACCTCGCACGAGCCAGAGCGTTGCTGTTGAGATCAGTCCACGGCAATGGCCCTTGGCGCCCTCGCCGAACCCCCAACAGGGGAGACGGGAACCTAAATCGCAAATGAAAGCACCAGAGCGAAAGTCCAGGTCAGTGATGGAATCAGACAGCCCCGTTTTCATCAACGTGTCCGAGGACGCGGGTATCGGTTCAGTGGTGATGAACCTGAACCCGGTGAGGTTTCAGTCGGCAGCGTTTGAGCTGGTGGAGCCCGACGCGGAGAGCTCACCGGTAAGCGTGAGCCGGGACAGCGGGGATATAGTCATATCAAGGAGACTGGACCGAGAGACTGAGCCTCTGGTGGAAATCACCGTCAAAGTTCAGGATAAAAGAGGTGAGCTAAAGACCGAGCACGCATGTGTGTGAGTCAGCGACCCGGTGTGTCTGTGTGAGAGAGAGAGAGGGGGGGGGGGGGGGTGAGCGACAGTATTGAACAAGACAGTGTGTGTGAGCGCATTCCTTGTCTGATGTGCGTTCACTGCGAGGCTTGTTGTGCAATATATAAACATAATCTGTCCTTAATCTTTGCAGTTTAATGTTGTCTTTGATATTCACTTCATATGTTTCACTTGGCTGACTTTGTCACGCTATATTTTGTGCGTAAATACGCACAGAGAGGGAGGTTACTTTATAGCAGCCTACATTTGAGTCCCATCAGTGCTGATGATATTGTCCCTGATTTTACTGCAGTCATAACAATTCTACATTGTTAGTGGAGTTATAATAGCGAGGCGGTGACCTCAGACCAATATCAAATATATCTTTATTTTCTAGATCACTGGCTTGATTTAATTTAGCTGCAAAGCGAATTTTCTTCCCTAGAACTCTAATGGTCCCATGACCCTAGTTTAGTATCCACTGGACAAGATACAGTATGCTTGTCTTGGTAATAAAGAGGAGAAAGTAAGAACAGTGTTATATTGTGTTGAGTAATCCCTGTGGTGAAAGCCTCAGGTCAAGTCAGGGTTTGGGGGAAGGTCATGGAGGCCAGTGTGAGGAACCCTACGTGAATGAGTAAAAACTCCAGACCCCAGTCAGCTTTGGTGGGTTTCTAAACCGGGATCCTATGGTGACCTAAGTGATACGCACTGAGGTACCTTGCTACCCCAGTTTAAAACGTCCATATTCAGAGGCTGCCTAACACACTAACCAGGTCCAATCCTGCTTAGACTCTGAGATCAGAGAAGATCAGGCTTTGCCCTGGGGAGTCTGGCTGTAAGCAGTGTCAGAGTGCCCAGTGTTTACAGCAGAGGTTAAACTGAGCGACATTCATCAGCGTTGATGATGATTCATGTGCTTAGATAAATTAGGGCAGCGTGAATGTGTCTGCTGCTGCTGCCAGCAGCAACAGATGCTGGGATGTCAGGGGAGAAGCACAACGCGTAACGGCCACCGCACCAACAGGTTAATTATCACCTGCGGATAAAGCAGAGAGAGAGGGGAGAGACAGAGAGGGAGTTAATGCAGCCACATTCACATTAATACATGCATTATGTGAAGGGATGAAACATTGGGCTAATTGACTGTGACACTGAGCACAGGAGACTAGAATATAGTGCAAAAGCAATATGTAGCCTAATATTGACTTTGAACTTGGTTCCGTCCATCTGTCTGTCTGTCTGCTTGTCTGTCTACCTGACTTGACTGGAAGAATGCAGCACCACAGCTTGTTCCGTTAAGACCAGTTAACAGCATTTGACTGGGGGAGTGACCCAATCAATGTGACCTATTGGTCTTGGTAATGTTGAACTATATCCTGATGCAGAAAAGAAGCTGAGCCTGCTCTTGGCACACAATGCTAATTTACACTCCCAGCAACTGCATGCAATGATGGCTCTTTGTCACCATTGTTTCTTTCTTGAACACATAAATATTGATAGAAAAACTATACGCTTTCAGTGTCTTAAATGAGACACTTTAGCTTACAGTTGCAGTGTCACAACATCCTTTGAGAGTTCTTTTACAAAGCATTCAGCTGCAGTTTGATTTTAGGAGGCACTCAGCAGGGACTTTTGGCATCGAAATTGACCCAAGTTGCGTAATTTCAGGCAGCTCTCAAAATATTTTTTCATTTCACCAGCCAATGAAATGCGTTTGGGTTTTTTTCTCCCTGCACTCTGTCAAAAGTTCAACTAGTTTAATCTTTTCGGACAGACTTCGTTATTATATTTTTTTCTTACAAATGAACAGGAACAAACATATGGGAGACAGCTAAAATAATAAGATTCTTGTCAAGAATGCATTGTCAGGATATCTGTGACGGAGGAACAAAACAACAAAATAAGATTTTATTGTCATTTTAAAAATATGTAAATACTATGTATGAGAGGCAGTTACAGTGAAATTAAAGTTTAATGCATTGGAAGTGCATTTAATGTGTAATCCAGCTCAATCCAATCAGATACAATAAGGATGAGTTAGTGCAAACTGGCTTAATGTATATGAAGATTAAATACATGTAACATATTGTTGCTTATGGTCAAATCCCTTACTCCAGTGTTGGTTTGGGTGACTGAATCTTCAATGTGCCTTGAGTGCATGTATATCTGAATTGTGATATGTTTTGCTCTAACAGGATGCATGTTAATACGAAGTTTAAAGAGGAGGATCAGCGTAAATTATTCCTAAATGGATGGCTTTAAAGAAAAGACTAAAAGCTTAACCTTTTATGTACTTGATAGGAGGGGGGAAAAGCAGTGGGTTGAAACACATTTCCATGACCAAACTGTTTACTGCGTTATGCTGAAAGACGACAAGTTTTCATTTCCGGGCTTAGTGGCGGGCGACGGGGGGCGAGCTCGGCTCAGCTCGGCGTCTCAAGCGTGAGAAACGTGGCATCAGTTCGGTTGTCGGTGGCTTGGTTGAAGTCTTTTAATCCGTTTGGAATGGAGAGTCCTGATGGAGCCTCGACCTCCCTCCATCTGCTCACATTATCCCTGTAATCCCATCTCATTCTCTCTGTCTGTCTCTCTATCTCACTTTCTCTCCCTCCCTTGCTCTCTTACTTTCTCGCTCTTATTTTCACTCTCACTCTAGGGATTTAGTTTGAGTGGAGGCACAGTTTAACACAGTGAGAGAGAGAGCTTCTGACATGATTCTTAGAGGGACGGACGTGTGTGTGTGTGTGTGGCTACAAGCGTTATGTATCAGGATCTAAGATCACTTCCTCTTGTCTGCATTTATGGCCCACCCTACAAGTGCTGCTGAGCTTCAGCAGTGTTTGAGTCTGGTGTGTGTGTGTGTGTGTAGTTGTATTACTCACATTGTGAGGACACAAATCAGTTTACACTTTCACACTGTGTGGGCAAAAACGTCCACCCCCCAAAGGTATAGCATTACATTTAAGAGTTTGCTTTTGGCTAATATTAGGGTTGGGGTTAGGCGTGAAGTGGCTATGGCTAAGATGAAGGTAAATCTTAAGTCAGTGCCATGGCCTACAGCACTGGTTCCAAACCTGAGGGTCAGGACCCCCACTATGAGTCGCCAAAGCTCCACAGGGGATCGCAAGGCCTTTTTGATTTTAAGGGGAGTAAGAAAACTTTAAAAATATTCACATTAGGCCTATATCCCGATATATACACGATAAGGGCACAGCGAAGAAATGAACAGCTATATTCACAGAGCCTTCACTCTGATAAACAGCCTCGTCCTGCATTAGAAAAGTTCAAACAACCAAAAAAACAATAGAACAATAAGAAGAGAACACTGAATCCATCAAAAAGGGAGCCTGTTAAGCATGCATGATTGTTAAAAATAAAAAAAACATACATAACAAAGACAGAGAATAGAATAAAAAGTTCCATATGAAATAACAATAAAATAGGGGTTGTCAGTTTACTCAGTGATAGAAAAAGGGGTCCCTTAAGGAAAAAGGTTGGGAAGCACTGTCCCATAGTAAGTGACAAAAATATGCTTGCCTGTGTACACAAATAAGTGTTGGAAAGTTGTTATTTTCAATTTCTTTTTGCAGGGTTTCTTTTTAATGCACAGTTGCTCTTCATTTCAAATAAGACAATACTACTCTCTGCTTTTTTTATTATCCTAACATAAACCTGTGTGTATTTGTGCACATCTAGCTTCTATATCCCAAAGCCTTTATTTTCACAAGTCATTTAATAATGTGCCAACACCTAAAACAGCACAGAGTGAGTGCTCCATTAATTTCCCCCAAAGGTTCTTCCTCCACCTCCTCTAAAACATACAATATGACACTGTTCTTTGACTGCACTGACTTCTGTTGCCATAGTGTTTCATGAAATGATTAATCGGGTTAATTAGTTGAATGATTAATTTTGTTAGGCACAGTTTTTTGTCCATCTTCAGAGCTTTCCCTTTTGAAAGATCCACACCAATATTTTATTCCACTGCTTTTTTCTTGTCATACCTCATTCTCTTCTTATGTCTCTGTTAAGGCATAACCACCCTCTATTATAAAAGTCCCCTTCCACTAAAAAATATTGTTTCTCTAGTTGGATGTTTGATCTTTACTGTGCAGAAAGTTGTATATGCAGAGTTTGACACTAAAAGGGTGTTTTCACATTCATCTGCTGAAAGTTTCTCTGAGCTCATTGAAAAACAGATTTTAAGGGGCGGGGCCTTTGAGCATGATTTGTGACATCACAAAAATGTCTTTATTGTTAAATTGTCTGCGTTTAATTTCTTCTTCTTTTTTTTGTTAAAAAAACCCCACCAGACACACATTATTATTCTAAGCAGACTATTTGTATATGTTGTAATACATGTCCGGAGGGTATCTTTAAATCATTTCTAGCCAGCTAACCCTGCATTAAATAGACAAGAGACTTCTGTAGTCATTTTAGCTAATGATAACTAGCTAATTATAATGCATTTCTTCTGTGGTGAATGCACTCTTCTGGTCACATGTTCTGGCAGTGAATACGGCAGACTATATGACAGGAGACCCCCATCATGTTGAATAGTAGAAAGTTTATTCCAAACTAATTAACCACATTTTTATCTACCGTGAGTGTAAATTTTTTTCAACCTTTAAAAAATAAATACCCAGATGAAAGGAACAGAGTGACAGGTACAACACTAGACTCTCGTCACATGTGGAACGTTCGTCCAATATTTCTTTGTGCTTTAGCTCGGATTTGGCCTGCCAGATACCCAGACCTACATTTGACTTTCTTGACCACTCATTTACATGCTGTATTACTATTTGAGCCGTTGAAAGTCGATCACATTGACTGATGAACCAACACAACAAACTGAAGGCTGCAGAACCCCTGGGGGGTTCTCAGTGGGATCAGCAGTATTAACAGCAAACCTGTCAAATTACAGGGAGTCATTTTTTTGTGTAAAAGCAGTGTT